AGAGGCAGTGGCCTAGACCACTGCCTAGACGCATGTGTCTGTCATAGCCGATTGGCTCCATATGGACGTTAAACTTGATTAAATAAATAAATAAACATAGGGCTTCGTTAAGCGTGGGCTGACTAGTCCCAACAAGGGGTAAATAGACACAGGCTTGGAGCATTTCAACGGCCAGTTTCTCTGAGGACTCCTGCATTGTAAAATTCCATACAGGTTTTATGGAGGCACAAAAACCCATTGGGTGTTCTACTCACAGACTGCGGTATAAAAGGTGGTATGAGAGTTGGATTCTATCCAGAGGGACATTCACTCTCTCCATCGTTTGTTACTACAAGACAAATATGAATCAAACCCTCTGTCTTTCAAGACCGTTCATTTTCGTCTATTACGCTACTTATTTTCACGCAGTCTCCCTGATTCTTAGCTACTATGGTGAGCAACGATCAAGAATGCTCTGTTGATCAAGAGACTGCCAATTTCTTTGAGAAGACGCCAGCTACAGAGGGAGGTAAGTAATGACCTAAGTTTCATCTCGTATTGACGGAAGAGTTCATCGCGTAGCTCTGATCAACAGTTTGTGGGGCTTCCCACGACAAAAGCAAAGAACCTAGTTTCTAATCTCAATTCTACTCCTATCTCCTGTTTGTCATATACTTTCAAGTTTCTAGCTTCAGCCTCTTCTTCCCTTCTCTAATCTTTCTTAGCCCTTCAACCTAGCTTGATAGTGTTAGACACTATCTTGTATCCAAACCTTTTATTCTCTTGATCCATTCCCACTGACATTATCTTCAGTAATCCCTCACTGTTTCTTTCAAAGGAAACAGTCCCACAGACAACAAGCCACATTCTAACATCTTTTCGACATAAAATTTTACCTGGTAAGTCTTATTTGGCTTGTCTACTAATATCTGAAATTATTCTCTGGAGTAAAAGAATTATAAGCTCATTTCAAACCTCTTTCAACTCTCTTTTCTCACCCACTAGACTCTGTTTACTGACTCTATTAGACAATATCGGTAGGTATGTCCCGTCCCTCATTTGTGCTATACAATTCAAACAGTTTTCTGCATATACACTGTTTTACACCAGATTCAGTACTGTGCTTGCTGGTATCCGCAGCCCAGCCCAAGAACTGGCAAATCAATGGATCGTTGAGCTCTGTTATACTACTTTTTATATAGTGAGGTCAATATAAGCTGGTGTTGAAAGTTCAACAATACTGCTAGTAGCAGCAGGACTAACTACTGACTCGTTTCTATTTTAAGGATATCTATCGGTTGACTTGACTGCGTAATATACCGCTGGTGGTTGAGGGCAGTTGAGGAACATACTAGACTGCAATGGCAATATTCTACCGCACGCCTTACCGCCACTTGCAGGTTAGCTTATTCTTAGGCAACGGCCACCTGCAAGTTAGCTCATTCTTAGGCAACGGCCACCTGCAAATTAGCTCATTCTTAGGCAACGGCCACTTGCAAGTTATCTTATTGTTCTTAGCCATCTTCTCATCAAACAATAAAGCCATATACAGCATCCCCTTCCCGGTCTCAGAAGAATTCTATCTCCGATTTTCATCGAGATCTTCTGATCGACGTGATCAGGTCGACAATCGCACCGAAAACACTACACTATACACACTTTCTTGCCCCGGACTCGGGAGTGCTTATCCTAAATCCTTGAAAATGGCATCGCGAAAGAGAGGCCCCCCAAGTAGTGAGACCCAATCACCAAGGAGAATTCGAACTCACAGCCCTGGAGCTACAGAGAGATTGCAACCTAGCCCAGCATGCCCAGGTGAAGTGAAGACTCGCGAGCGTGGCCCACTTTCCAAAATTCCGCCGGGGTCTGACGTCTTCGAAGCCTTTTCTAAGGCCAGAGCAGACAAAGACCTTACAGATGAGGAGGCGTTTCTTGAGTTGCTAGCAACTTATGATATTCCGCTGTCCACTCTCGCAAAGATCTCAACCCAGAAATTGGAAGTCTCCTTTTCCAATGTGACATTCCAGCAAATTGCGCCATACGTGTGGTTAGATCCTAGTAGGGCAGGTCTAGATATATTACGACTCGATATCTATCGATCTCGGATTCCTACTGACATGTTTCGTGATATTGTGCGTGATGTTGAAGATGCTCTCACACAGTATGGTCCCCTTGATTCTCACGACAACGAAGAAGCCAGATCCCGCTTCATCTCCTCGCTTTTCACCCGCATTGTTTGCGTATTCAACAGTATTGTTGTCAATAAGCCAGAAAACCTGCTGGAGGGTGAGTTTACCAGAAAGGGCCGTATAGAGCACCAATTTGTTGCACTGGGCTCGGTGAGCGTCGTTTTTGTCGAGGTGAAGAAACTCTGGGCAACAGGAAAGCACGGCCTTGATGTAAAGGGCCAGGTTCTGGCTGAGTGTGCGGCGAGCGACTATACCAACATGAAGCAAGGGCGCTGGGTGCCCATCCTTGCTATATTATGCGATGGCAATAACTTTGAGTATTTTGTCTTTGACTCGGCAACCAAAGAGATATACTCATCACGCCGCATTGCAGGTGTTGTAACAGATGAGCTGGGCGACCATGCTGATCTTCTTCTTTCTATTAAAAGAACTTGTGAATACCTATTCGATTGGTTCATTATGGCCTACATTAATAGCCTTCAATCATTCGGACACTACTCGTTGAAACGATCGCAGACCAAAAAACGGGAATCTACTAGTCAATGGGAAAGTGCGCTGGCGAATGCTCATACCGCACACTGGCTTCTCAGAGAGGCGGCCGAAGCCGCTAAAGGGCACAGGTTTCAGGATGCTGAGGTACTAGCCAGCAGGGGTTTGGAGCAGCTGAAACAGAGTGTTTTGGAGGTCCCCGGCGAGCGACTATATGCGAGAAGTCTTCAATCCTTATGGGATGGCAGCATGCCTTTAGAAGAGGCCTTAAGCGATCGACACATCTTCTAAACCATAGGTGCTTACTAATCACTTTTCAATGCTGTATCTTAATTTGAGAATTATCTTTAATATTCATTACTTCAGAAGCTAGGTACATTTTTCCTAATGTAATATAGCTTATCTTTCCATTGGCTTGTGGTTTTCTCTTTATTATTACGGGGGGTGGATCCTGGAAAAGGCTTCTTTAGGACTTCCCATATTACCAAAGTTAAACCATAGTCTGCTCAGGGGCAAGGTTACTTCTACTGTAAATGGCCTTGAAACTAATACTAATATCTTGCACTTGGTGGAGTAATTGGACCAATAGAACTTGAATTCTGAAAAAATAGACTTTCCTCATGGGAGTCGTCACGTCAAGTCATGCATACCCAGCCTTTTCCTTACGTTCTAGAGGCAAAAAAACACGATGGGTGTCCTACTCGCAGATCGCAGTGTAAAAGGTGGTACGAGAATCTAATTCTACCCAAACGTAGGATATTCACTCCCTCCATCATTTGTTACTATGGAGATCAATGATAATGGAATACTTTGTTGATCAAGAGATTGCCTATTTTGTTGAGAAGACGTCAGTTACCCACCCAGCCTGCGACGCATATGTGACAGAACACCTTGGAGGCAAAGTAATTCCCGTCACCGTGCAAGGCGTATGCAGCTATGCGGTCTATGCTGTACCCAGTGCCGAATTTGTGGCGCAGTTCCGCCTTCGGTCTCTTGAGCTGAAGATGGAGACTATAAATCTTGCTCAGACTATATATGGACACCTTGCCCTCCAAATTACTTTTAAAGGGCATATTGGCGGTGATATAGAGGGAGAGATAGTACCTATCTTTAATGCAATTGAACAGTAGTGACCAGCAATCCGTCGAGGGTAGGTACTGGTACACCAACATATACACTTAAGAATGTAGCCTATCTACAGCTGGTCATAGTATTCACTGGGCTATATAACAACAGATTGTGCACTCACTCCATATATACTAACAAGAGAGGTATTATAGCAACTTGACAAATCTATACCATAAGCTCTGTGAGATATAGACACTATTGTGGATTAACTGTCTGTTAAATATCTCTCAGTTTCTATATATTCTCTATCCTGTAATCTTTAAATACCTTTAAGGCCTGTATATTGATATATAATTTATATTAGAAATAGATACAGATTATTAAGAGACTGAGTTATTTCTCTAATTCTATAAATAGTATTGTGATCGCAGCTACGCTGATGTAACGGTACTATAGAGCTACGTGAGGGGATCTTTCCCCTTAGCTACAGCCCTAGTGACTGCACCACGGGCTTAACCCTACAGCAGTCAACTACCCTGTGTATATAAAGGACATAGCGACCCCCTTACCTTTGGTAGGAGGCCAGCAACTCTCTACCTCTCATAGGATACCTCTACTTGGCATAGAGTATACAAATAAAGTAGAAATACCTCGTCAGATGTAGTCTTAGCTTTTTATATCTCTTGTAATAGAGTGAGTTGTCATTGCAGCATTGTCGCTCTAGATAGTGTTAATATAAGATACAGATTTAGGTCTTTCAACCAAGGTCAGTAAAAACAAGCCAACCTTGGTTGAAAAACTGTAATAAGAAGTTAGAGCTTACAGATTTCTTTGGTTTTGGAGTGCCCATCCGTCTCTTTTTATATTTACGTCCATCGCCTTCTTTATCATCCATACCTTGTCGTTTTGAATGTAATTTCTTTGTTGATGGTGGTGCAAATAGTTCATTGTCCGGTTCATATCCAAGATCATGGACGTTACTAAAGAAAAGACGTGAGCGATTGTGTCCCAGTAAACGACACAACTCCTTGTCTGCCTCTTTATTAATAAGATCTGCCTCAATAGGCTCGACATCTCCTTCATCGTCATCTGAGTTTTCAGTCATGGAAAGGGTTTACATCACAGATGGAAAAATCTTTGGTCGTATCTGGGCTGCAAAGTATGATCACCAAACAGAATCCACACCCGCTGTTTGCTCTTCTGGCCAATTCGGTGAAGCCGAACCGACCCTTGGAATAGTGTAGCCAGATTCAGTGGGGGTTCCATACAAACGACGCGACTACAATAGGTTTGTAGGTTCAGCCCAAATGCGCCACATGTATATGTTGTCAACAGTACCTTGTACGGTGAACTGGGTGCAGTGAACAACTCAACAGCCTCATTTTGCTGATCAGTTGTCATCTGAGATCTAATAACAATATATGGGATAGACAGAGCATCAAGAAACATTTCAGTCATCCACATAATAAGAGGCCAATGTGTGAAGACAAGCCAGCGTCCTAAATTACCATCTGAAAGACCCTCTTTCTCAAAAAGGCGTGAAAGATAGCGGAGTTTGGTAGATTCAGAGGCAAGATAAATCGCCTGTCCTGTCCTGGTCGGAGGTACTAGTACTCGTGTATCTTTTCGCGTGTATGCGTAGGAAAAAGAAAACCCAGGATCTGGACGTTCTAGGTACTTCGAGATATGGTTTTCAAGCCCTTCCTTTTTGAAACTTATGTGATAAAGTCATACAGCATTAGTGAGAAGACAAGATGGGCAAGGACTCGGAAAATTGATCAATTCAACTTCCCACCGATATGCTGGATTTCGTCTGCTTTAGATTTATCCGTGTCTCTTGTCTTCAGCAAATCAATCAGGCCGAGATATACACAACCATGGCGTTGCTGTACAGTCGCCGGGAACTTCAGATCAATTGTCATTATTCTTCCAGGGGGAATGTCACTTTCAATTGTAACACTGTTCTTGCCTTTAGTATCCATAGTTACAGTGTCACCGAAGTGACGCTGTAGACAAATAAGCCGAAGCACAACTGGTAAAATCCAAAATCCAGCAGTAGCCGTCAAGCTGCCTTGACGGGCCACAGTTGCCAATCGTCTTGGTGAAAGTAGATGGAATGGCGGCGGTGTAGAAAATGGATTTTTTTTTTTGACTGTAGTAGCGATAGTCATACAGAGGATCTCTATCGCTTAGAGTCTGGTCAAAGTCACTGGGAGGCTGAGACACATCATCAAACTCAGGTAGTTAAAAAAGACTAAGGTAGCTATATATATTAATTACCCGGTTTGGTATCGGTATGGCGGAGAAGAACTATTTATATATAGCCTTCAGATGTGCAACTGACTGATATATTTTAGTTCTGATTGTTTTGACTATATAGTGTTCATCACATATCACACCCAAATTTACCCTTTAACATAGACCTATATTTGGTTTTTGGAGGCTGTCTAGAGTCGCGCGGTATATAATTGGTTTATTCTAAGAAAGATAGATTAAATGTTAATCCTTGAAATTTTTGGTATAATACATTCTTACATTACCTGGAAGCATTATCGTTTTGATACTTTGTTTAGCTTTGGAGATCTTAATCTTGCAGCTCTTTTGTCTATGGTAGTTCATAGAACTAGTTCTATGACGCTCAAATCCTGGATGCACAAGAGTATCGTTACAGTATATGCAATAAACCTTTAGATCTCCGGCTGGAAATACTGCACATTCATGGAAATCATGATTCAAGAGTCAATGAATACACGGTATTGAAGGTGTCCACCTTTTTGCCAGATTATCCCACTACAACAGACTGTGAATTGAGAGATTATGGGCACCTGGCAAAAGTCGATTCTTCGCATTCGGGTCATTCATTGATTCGTGAGCTGTATGATTCATTCGACCTCCAGGTCTCAAAAGCTGGTATTGGTGGAAATATTAAGCGTAGTGGCATTCTACGGCCGACAAGAGCATAGAAGGTAGAGAAACCCGGTGTTACTCAACTAGTCGATCTTATTAAAGAGTCAACTTGTGCAGTCGGTACAAAAATGCCTATTATATAGGTATTGCTTGAATATTAAACAACATGGTGCGCACTGTACCATAGAATCCTACCGCTTTGCAGACTATCCGGAGTAACTCCAGAGTGACCCACAAAACTGTCGCTTCACGGACGATTATAACGGACAAACGGCCGAACGGGCGAATATAACGGCGAATGTACCTTCTATTGTTATTTGCCCATGCTCTGCACAGCAAGCGATTGATTGCTGCGCGGTTTCCTTGAAATAAATCCATCAAGTTTCTTCACCTTATCGACATAGTGAGTTTTATCCTTCGTAGTCTTCAGATTTGTTTCCTTCTACCAAGAAAGTTCGAGATCCATACTACAAGTCCAATCCTTCTGAGCTTTCGCTTTAGCGCAGCGGCATAACCAGCATCAAGAATTCAAGATGCGTGAAATTGTAAGTCCTCTAACGTCTGTCAAGGCAGCAGCATGCTAGGCATCACATTTACATACTTTGTGGCGATGACATGACATACTGACGGTATTTGATCGCAGGTTCATATACAAACTGGCCAGTGTGCATGTTGAGCCTCGAAACCTTTGTCGATTACGGCTGACTCAGTATAGGGCAACCAAATTGGTAGCGCATTTTGGTACGTCTGATCCTCCATGAACCTCAATCGTTTAACGCGCGTGATACAATTTATCCACCTCAAGTAAATCTCGTTACTGAGATTGTCTTTCGTCTTTTTCTACAGGCAGACCATCGCGGGAGAGCATGGCATCGACAGTTCCGGCATGTTAGTATCATCCCAGGTTCCCAGCACAGTCCGCTATTAACAATCGATACTAGCTATAATGGCACGTCAGACCTCCAGCTAGAACGTATGAATGTATATTTTGATCAGGTCCGTGTTTGTACCCATTGATCTTGCACCGTTACTACGAAGCTGATATAGGACAGGCGAGCGAGAAAAAGTTTGTCCCTCGCGCCGTCCTCGTCGACCTGGAACCAGGCACCATGGATGCGATCCGCAGCGGTCCCTTCGGCCGGCTTTTCCGTCCTGATAACTTCATCTTTGCGCAGGCTGGAGCCGGAAATAACTGGGCCAAGGGCCACTACACGGAGGGCGCTGAGCTGGTGGAGCAGGTTGTCGATGTCGTGCGCCGCGAGGCCGAGGCCTGCGATTGCCTGCAAGGCTTCCAGATCACACACTCGCTGGGTGGCGGTACGGGCTCGGGCTTTGGGACTCTGCTGCTCGCCAAAATACGCGAGGAGTTCCCGGATCGCATGATGGCAACCTTCTCGGTCCTACCCTCGCCAAAGGTGTCGGATGTTGTGGTGGAGCCCTACAACGCCATGCTGTCTGTGCACCAGCTCGTCGAGCACTCGGATTCCACTTTCTGCATTGACAACGATGTTTGTTTCCGACAGTTCTGACGAGAAGAGCATCATGGCGGGCTAACGCTGTCTAGGCGTTGTATGATATTTGCATGCGGACTCTCAAGATTCCACAGCCGTCCTATGGGGATCTCAATCACCTTGTATCGGCGGTCATGTCAGGCATCACAACATGTCTCCGTTTTCCGGGCCAGCTCAATTCGGACCTTCGCAAACTAGCAGTGAACATGGTACCATTTCCACGACTTCACTTCTTCATGGTGGGCTTTGCGCCACTTACCAGTCGTGGCGCCCATGCTTTTCGGGCCATCAATGTGCCTGAACTGACGCAGCAGCTCTTCGAGGCCCGGAATGTCATGGCTGGCGCCGATTTTCGAATTGGTCGCTATCTGACCTGTTCTACCATCTTGTATGGCCCCAAGCATGGCCACACGTACGTTTACTAACCCAAAGCTCTAAGTCGCGGTCAAATATCGATGAAACAGGTGGAAGAACAGATGCAGAGTGTCCAGAACAAAAACACCAGCTACTTTGTCGAATGGATCCCGAACAACATCCAAACTGCGCATTGTTCGATCCCGCCTCGCAACCTGAAGATGTCAGCCACTTTCATTGGCAATTCTACATCCATTCAAGGGCTCTTCAAGCGCATAGGCGATCAATTTACGGCAATGTTTCGGCGTAAAGCGTTTCTGCATTGGTACATCGGTGAAGGCATGGACGAGATGGAGTTTACGGAAGCTGAGAGTAATATGAACGATTTGGTGGCTGAGTATCAACAATACCAAGACGCGTCTGTGTCGGACGAGGAAGAATAGTAAGTTTTCCCCATCATCCAGGGAGCCCGGGGCTAACAGGATCCATACACAGTGACGAGCAGGTTTTGGGTGAGGAAGAGTAATGATTTCGCTCACAAACGTTCTATCTGGTGACGTTGCGTTTTCAGCTATTTTGGGATTAAATGTAGTATATCTTAACTCTAACAGCCGTAGTAGTGTTTACCTTGACATCAGCATCGTTCTCCCTGTCCCCCTTCTTCCCCTTGGTGCATTTTGCTGCTGCTTTTATTTTATTTCATTTTTTTTTTTTTTTTTT